CGCGGTCCCCTGGCCATCGGGAAGACACAGTAAGGAAGCGCCCAGGGCCACTCCCTCCCTGGCCTTTGTACCTCAGCCCGCTCCATCTTTATTTTACCGCTCACGTTTCACTTAACCAGCGTGGGCTTTACTGATGACCCGGAGAGAGGGAAGACACGGGAAGGCTCTTAGCAGCGGTCTCAACCTGTGGGTCGCGACCCCTGTGGCGGTCGAACGACCCTTTCACAGGGGGCGCCTAAGACCATCCTGCATATCAGATATTTACATGACGATTCATAACAGTAGCAACATGACAGTTACGAAGTAGCAACGAAAATAATTTTATGGTTGGGTCACAACATGAGGACCTGTATTTAAATGGCCAGAAGGTTGAGAACCGCTGTAAGGGGTATTTGCCCAGTAAGGAGCTCTTGGTCAGAATGAGACTATAAGAGGAATTCCTGCTAGTGATCCCTTTTGGCTTGTGTGAACTGACCATGATGCCGAAGGTTAGTCAGCTGTCTTAGAACTTGCACAGGTTTGTATGTGGCTCCTTAACAGAAATCAGGAAAATGAAATGGGTGGCATCACTTTTTTTTTTTTAACTGGTGTTGCTTTTTCCCCCCTCCTCAATATAAAATATTTTCTGGTATATTTTGTCGTTTTGATCAGCCAAGGAAAAAAGAAAAGTTACTGGAGCCTCAAGTGATGATCCACAGCCAGGGACTGACCTGGTAAGAAAGGAATCATTAACCAGTTCGGAATCTTTCCAAACAGTGGAGTGCAGTGAAATTCGAAGTACACCTCTCTTGCGGTCTTCGGGTAAGGAAGTTTTGGTAGACGGTATTAAAAGAAGACGTCGAATTAAAACACTTGAAAGCTTAGCAAGTCCACTCTTCAAAATAACTGAAAATAAGGTTACACAAAATAGAAAGGTTGAATTTCAAGATGAACTGTACAAGAATACTCCAAAATATTCTTGTAACAGCGTGTCACCTGGAGTAGAAAATAATTCCATTTTAAAATTACATGATTGCAGTTGTTTCCCCCATTCCAAGGATTGTAATGATGAAAATAACCTTACATATAAACCTGATGGTGGATGTATCCATGAATCAGAAAATTCCTCAGAGTTAAAGAAAGAAAACCTTGGGAGTCTTTCAGATAAGAGTGACACAAATAATATTCCTCAACTTTCAAACACTGAAGAAAACTTAATGGGAGTAAATAAATTATTGCTTGAAGAAACTGATATATACCAAAGCAAAAATAATGGCTTGCTTCCCTGCCGTCAAAATGAAAAAAATAAATACTCAGTAGAGGAGAGCAGTGTTGGGAGAAAACCCAGGAAAAGGATGAAGGTGTCTGAAAAAAGAGATGAAATGGTTATCAAAATGAACTTCTCTAATGTGCATAACAAGTCTGAGTTGCTGTTACAAGAAAACCATACGGGTGCTGAAAGTACAGAAGCAAAAACTTTAAAAATTTTGAGAAAAGCAAACCATAATACACTTTCTCCAGTAGATCATTTATCAAGTCTTCCAGAAACAGTAGGAAAAAAGACAAGTCCTAAGCATCTTGTAAATACTATGTTTCAGAAAACCCTAGCGCCACTTTTGAAAGAAGAAACCAAAAATGCTTCAGAACCCTTAAGAAGTAAAAGCACTGAGCCAGAAATGAAAAGCTCAACAGTGAAATCACCTAGTAATTGCCATCCTATTGAAAAGAGATCACAGGAAGACTTAAGAAATGAAGCTGAAGAATTCAAGTTCACCTGTCACAGAACAATACCAATGACGGGTAAAAGAACTTGGCCGTGTTATTCATGTGCTAGAGTAACTGCCTATTGTTGGAAAAAGTCTTCCTTGCCAGAATCAAATAACTCTCTTCCTGGGTCTGGGGAAAGTGTTAGGCAAGATGATTTCCTTAAACATCAACCAAATCAGACTCACTTAATTGACTCCAAATTACCATTACAAAGTTCCATAAAAGAAACAAATAGTGAATCTTCAAGTAAAGAAAAATTGGATTCTAATATAAATTGTCTGTCTGCGATCTCTGAAGTAGTCTCTGCTATAAAACCTACTTTAATGGTTATAAATGAACCTGTAATCGATGATGAAAAGATGAAGTATGAGGAACCGAGCAGAAGTGGGTTAGAGGTAGTTTCTAATGCAACTGAAGATACTCGGTTAACTAATGTGACTCAAAACTTAACAGGAAATAAAAGAAAAGAGAGAGGGACTTTAACAAAACTTAATTTGACACTGGCTTCCCAGCATGGCCAGGAAGCTAACAACTCTACAGGCAAAACTATTCACCGAAAAACATGTGTTGCTAAGCCAACAGTTGTGGTTCCAGACTTTGTTAAAATACTGAACACAGGACGGCTGACTAATTTTAAAATTCCTCTACTTAAAAATAAAACAGAAAAAAGCAAAGAAATAAATGCCAAGTCATCAGAGAGAGAAGCATATAGTCCCCTAGAGCTTCTTGACAATATATCTGGAACAGAGATAAGACAGAATAGGAATAAAGAAAACATCTCCACAGTAATTTCAGGACTTCAATCTTTGAACATACAAAATAGTGTCGCTCCAGTGCAATCTAGTTCTGACTTATACTGCAATAAGAATTTCCATAGAATTTCTTCAAGTTTCTTAAAGCAAGGTAATAATAAACCATCTAACTGTATCTCTGAACCAGGCAATGTCGTTTCTAATAAGAAAGCTGTTTCTCTCACAGTTGAAAAGAATACCTTTTTCTGTGATCCTGGGTGTATAGAGAAAAGTCCTGCCTTCTGCTCTGATGAACAAGAAACATTCAAACAAGTTTCCTCTGAAGTTAGTGGTAGAAAAACAACTAAGAACTTTTCAGACATTAAAATTATTCCAGATATTCTTAAAGCATATGAAGATGATGTCCTCTTAATTGATGTAATTCAAGATGACCCAGACCTCTTTGGAGTCTCCAATGAAGGGGAGCTCTCATTTACTTCAGAGGTCCCCATGGTAAACCAGGAGCCCAATGTTGCTGAAGAGCAGCAATCAACAGACTCCAAGCACGTGGAACTTCCTGAAAAAAAAGAACCAAGTGATAACTTGAGGTATGCATGTTTAAGTATGCCTTTTGGTACACATTATTGGGGGTTTCAAAAGCACTTTCTACTCTTAGGTGTCACTAATTTATTCAGTGATCATTGAAGCTCCATTTTTTAACCCTGTTACTAAATATAGCATATTGCTGAGACATGGAAATGTCATTATGCTAAAACTTATAATTGAAATAAAACAATGATATATGTATATACATACACATATGTATATACATATATATGTTGGAAATTATAATGGAGCAGATTGTCCAAAATAAAATGATGATTCAGTCTTTTTAAATTACTGAGATTGTTTCTTTCAAAGTCAAATTTATTTTCATATGTTCTTTAATTATTATCAAAATACAAATATGCTTTTATTTCAGCCAAGTTACTTATTATGAACAATACTATATGTTTTAACCCACTTTCTGTGAATTTTTAAAAAAATAGTTTTATTGATTTCAGAGAGGAAGGGAGAGGGAGAGATAGAAACATCAATGATAAGAATCATTGATCCACTGCCTCCTACACACCCCACACTGGCCCTGACTGGGAATCAAACAGTAATCTCCTGGTTCATAGGTTGACGCTCAACCACTGAGCCATGCCACCCGGGCTGTGACTTTTTTATTAAATAAAAAATTCATTTTTGAGGAACAGAGAAGTCTTGGAAACGTTTATTTGACGTAATGAGGACTTGAAAGTAGAATCAGAAGTTAAGCCAATTTTCAGAAGAAAAGAAATATGTTGTGCTGTTAAGGTCAGGGTTTTAAATGATGATTTAGCTCCCAATGAGGACAAGTTTGCCTGATGCAACTTTAAATGGAGCCAAGTAGTAACCTTCATACTTTGGAACTTGAGCTATTCTGGGTTGGCTCAAATATTCTTTAACAGTATTTTATATTTTACTCAACTTTTATAATTCTTCAAGCTCTGATTTATATTTGTATGTTGCAGTACTTGAATATTGTAATGGTCTGTGAACAGACTCAAAAGGAAACATGAAAATACGAAACATGAAAATACTTTCCACTAAGAGAGTGGTACATGACTTAAATTTATCTGGTATTTATCAATTTTAGTTACTTTTGTAATGCCATATTCTTCTTGATGTTCTTAGTGTTACAAGAACTTGTAATCTATAATCACAAAGTACTTTCTATGTGTCAAATGAAGGACTAAGAACTTTATATATTATTTATTTTATTTTTAAATTTGTTCTGCTAGTAATTATTCTCAAGCAGTCATCCTCAAAACTTTTTGTCAATTACCCATAGTCAAGACATATTTTACATTACAATCCAGTCAGTGCATACTTATGAATATGTGAAATAATAGATTTACAAAAACAGAATTTTTCTTACTACAAGTGGTATAACATATTTTGTACTTTAGTCTGTTTCATTTTTAAAAAAATGCTAGTTGGAACCCCTTAAATTTCATCACCCCCTTGAAAAATTCTCTAGAGGATAAACTTGGTGTACTCTGTGTAGTTTCAGAAGCTTCTCTTGTTCTCTCCTTTTTGCTCAAATCATCTCTTTTGCTTTTCTGTACTTCTGTAGCCTCAGCCATATCTCTTTGTTTCTCTTTTGCTCCTTCTATCCTTCATTTGTTTCTCTTCTTGCTCTATCAAGGCAGAACTGTAACTTTCCACTCCACAAATGCAAAACTGTAAAATGTTTATGTGGATTGCAATTTTGCTTACTTTTTTTTTTAACTTAGGTGAATTTAATCTGTTTCTCTCAAATTTGAAACAAAACTAAATTACTTGTAACGAAAGTGGCATGTGCAATTTTACTTTCCTTATAAACTATTCATAGTAAAAAGTGTCTCACACTTATGAACTATATCAGCAATATTAAAATACGATCTTACTACTTTGAAATTAAGCAGTATACTTGCTATACTATTTATTTTCTTCATTTTGTTTTGTCAGGAATAACCTCCTGTATATCTGAAGCTAATAACCTATTATGAATATAACTTTCAGGATAATTAGAAACCACAGAAACATCTCTCACTTCTCTATTGAGTCACTTAATACTATTCATGCTATTATCTTATTATCTCACAATTTTCCTTCCTCTCAATTTTCACTGCTGGTATCTTATTCATCTTTCCCTTAGATTATTGTAATGAGCTCCTGGTTAATCTTCCTGAACTCTCTTAGTATATCTTCTCCATAGTGTTACTATGAAATAGAAATTGATCTGCCAGTGACTGCTTACAGTGCTTCACTAGCTTTCAGCCACTTGAGGATAGAGGCTAAATTGCTTGGCATGGCTCTTTAAAGCTCTTTGACAACTGTGTGATAGGGGATAGGAAAGGGGATGAAAGGCTAATAAAAGATAAGCAAAGCAAGAAGCTCACTGTTTCCATAATCTCATGTATTTGGATCCTTTTGCATATGCTTATCTGGAAGTCCCTTTATTTTCAATCAGTTATCCTTCAGATCACATCTGAGATGTTTTTCTAGGGATTTGTTCCAATAGTTCTCTTGGCATATATGTCAGTATATTATGTCTGCCTGTATGTAAGTTTCCTCCTATACTGGGAGTTTCTGGACAGGAGAAAGACATCTTCATTTGGGTCTCCTTCATGTCTTGCCTGGAGGATGTTAAGTGCTGAGTATGTGGAGAGTAACTAGACACACTTGGGCCTTATTCTCACAGCACTTTTAGTCTGTCAAGGGAGGCAGATATTAAGCAAGTACAATAAGATATGATTAAGTGCAAGATACTAAAGGTTCCTGGTCAAAGTGACAGTTACGATGAACACTAAAAGATGATTAGGAATTCGCCAAGAGGTAAAGAAAAGTGAGTAGAATTTTGTCATAGAAAGAATAGCCTATATGAAAGCCCACAGGGAAGAGCACGTCACAACTGAAAAACAGAAATAATGTCCCTCTCACATCAGTGTTCCTCTCTCTCTCTCTCTCTCTCTCTCTCTCTCTCTCTCTCTCCACCCCCTTCCACTCTAAAAATCAATGAAAATATATTCTCTTGTGAAGATTAACAAAAAAAGAATGGTGTATATAAAATGTTTTGTTCGGTTTCCCTTTTTCTTGGCTATTTAGGATAAGTTTAATAAAACCCATTTATTAAATGATTAAATGGTGGGATTATGGGTGTTTATTTTATTCTACATACTTTTTTATATTTTTGTCTAATTTTTTAAAAAACAAAATAGTGTTTAGCCTTTTGTTTTCAAGTTATAGATGTAGTTTTCATTGTTGGAGCCTATGCTATTGGCTGTAAGAAAATTTTATCTCATTAAATCTTTACATAACCTCGTGGGTAGGTGGTATTCTCATTTTACAGACATGATTAGACTCAAAGAAGTTAAATATTTTTGCCACAGTTAACACAAAGTGGCAGAACAATATTTAAATCCAAGTTGGACTAACTATGATCTCCATAGCTTTAACCTTTGGACTTGATATGTTGTTTTCAGAGACCACCAAAAACAAAAAAAAACACCTCAAGCTGCTCTCAAACCATCTTCCTTTTACATTAGCAATAAGACATACATACACATATCTTGTATTGGTGTAATACTTGAAAACTTTTTAAAATGCTGGGTACATGCCACTGGGCTCTTTTTGAGTAACAAAGTTTTAATGGCAGCATCCTTAACAATTGAAGTACATGTAATTGAAGAACCAAATAAGGAACCTTCTTGGCTGTGCTATGTTTTGAGTCCCGGTATAATT